AATAATAATAATAATAATAACAACAATACTAATAAGTTGACTGAAAACACTTATATCATTTTTATTCCATTATTTGTGACTTGAGACTAGGCACAGACCCAGTTAACTTCAGATATATAAGGATTAGATTTAAGCATCTGATACAGTCAAATTGGCAAAACTAGACTTGAGCTCCTGTAACAGATTACGAAAAAAATATATACCTTTGTCCAATATTTTATTCATCCCTGTCACTCCTCATAGTAATTTCTTCCTTCACTAAAATAACTGTTAATAGACGGAAAAACGATTCACTTTGATCGCTCATGAATAGACATACATCGCTTGTTACACTCAAGGAGAACAGTTCTAGTCGCATAGCAACCAGGGAGAAACAAAGGAACGCATGAGACTCAATGAAAGGGATTTATACAATAGAAGATGTATTAAACTTACCTCGAAGTCTGCGATGCCCCTGTAGGCTACAAGGAAACAGCAACCGAAGAACAGACAAGTAGCGATGTTCCGTGAGTCTGAGAGAGAGGTGAGGAGGGGCACGGAGCCCATTTGCCAGTCGTGGCTGAGTGTAGCGGGACACAGCAGCAGCCAACAGTTGAAGGCTGCCAGGTAGCAGAATGTGAGGAACCTGCAGAAGAATATAATCATACCGAGATTATGAACCGCTGTGTGGGAACACAGCCGATGACAGTGAATGCGCGGTCTGAGCCGGGCTCGGATTAATTTCACCACACATGTATGAGCGTGGCGACCCACACACGAACGAGTTTGGCTCATTGGAACCCGAGCCGAGTCAGACTCGTACGTGTATGGCCCCCTAAGGCATGAACAGTCTCCGCTCGCTCGAACACTGTGATTGTGGGTTCAATCCCACTCGAGAAATGGATGTATGTGTGCCTTTATTCTGTTTGTGTTGTTCTGTGTGTAGGTAGCGGCCTTGCGACGGGCTGATCCCCCGTCCAAGGAGTCCTATCAACTATGTATAGAATTAAAAAATTAAAGAAAAAACATGTCAAGGTCGAAAAGGGCTGTAGAGCCATAGAGAGAGAGAGGGAGTGCGTGCTTCCGTGCGTGTGTGTGTGTGGGGGGGGGACACAGACAGACATCAGTATAATACAGTCAGGTGGCAGAATGCTAGGAGCATGCAGAAGAAACTCAACCATCCTGAGAAAATTAAAAACTGTACGGGAACAAACCCAGATTACGTCACATAACGTTGGCTAGAAGAATGATAGGAGCCTGCAAGAGACAAGTCAGACTGAGATGAAGAAAGGCTTTGTACAGAGTCGTCCAAAAGTCAGTTAACATAAAATATTCTCTCGCAATAACAATGATGCTCATATTTAATCCTGCAAGGAAATTTGCATAAAGGTATCAGAGCGTTACAAGTTGTACATTTAACATGTAAGATCTAATTAATTTTTTTTTCTGAATTCGGTAATAAAATATTTATATCGCATTTTAGAACACACTTCACTAATACGTTGATTTACTTTCGGGGCAACCTTGTAGAATCCTTTTAAGAAATGTTATGAAATGTAAATTTTGAATCTTTCACGGCAGTAATATAAGCATGACGTTCACCGCGGGTGTAATGTAGTTTATCTCGGATATGGATGTAGAAGTTTCCTCCGAAAAGCTGTTGAAAATCTACACATGTAGGAAAGTTTCTCCGAGCTTCAGTGAATGTTACAAACACGAGAGTGGTTGTCCAGCCAACCAGTCAGCCGTGTTAAGAGGAGGAAGGGAAAGACGGCCGAGCGATAGGGCAGACGGAAAGAACCCAATTCTGCCCTGTACTGCCCCACACTCTTCCCACTTTTGCCTTCCTTACCCTCTTCCTCTGACACACTTCGTGCTCGGAAATATTTTCTTCCGAGTGTACCAACCTATACGACATGACATCCCACAAGATTCACACATTTAACGAAATGTTACATCGTATGGGAATGTTAAAATGGTAGAGGAAATATGCTAAGTATGTTGATAGAACTAGAGACAGATAAGAATACACGGAGGTAGAAGGAGAGAGATATTTAGTGAAAATGGCTTCTCAGAAACACTCAGACACGATATCCTACATTCTCCTCTTGTAACGCCCTTCAGTGAGCTCTCTTATGAGGCAATTCTATCACATTCACCAAGTCTGACAACTTATGAGAGAATGCCTTAAGAATCCAGTCTCCATTTGCGGTGAGGGATCATCGAACAAATTAACTCAAAAGGTAACCCTTCTTGCTTGTATCTGAGAGGAGCTCAATTCGAATCTCGGCAATGACATCGAATACTGTCACCGTTTTCGTGGTTTTCTTCGGTCCTTCCAGGCAATTACCGTGATAGTATCTCAGTTTTCACAAAAATTTCCTTCCATAATTTTTCCAAATCATTATTCACAAATCAATTTACCATCAGATCATATGTATTTCGAGCTGCTGCCAGTGTCATTGTTAAGCTACAAGGAAATGGCAATAACAGTGAGGAACTGTCGCGGAATTCCAAGACGGATTATTGCTTCATATTGTCTGCCTCCAAATGTTCCTCCATCCATCCACCCCTCCATCCCTCCATCCTTCCACCCAACCCACCTACCTATCCATCTTTCCACCCACCCATCTATCTATCTATCTATCTATCTATGGCTGGCTGTACAACCCCTGTGGACCTTGGCAGCTTTTTCAGTTTCTGAATCTATAAACAGCCAGTAGGACTCCGACGGGGGATCAGCCCATCTCAAGACCACTAAATACATATAACACAAACACAGAACAAACGTATATAGACATTCATGCCTCGAGTGGGATTCGAACCCACGATCCCAATGTTCGTGAGGGCAAAGATGATTCATGCCTCAGACCGCTCGGCCAAAGTGATCTGCCAAATATTCATCATGCACTAAAATTATAGATCAAAATAAAACGGATTTAAAATAGGTCACTTAAAATCTTCAACGAAATTAAAAATTGCCAAGAAAAATGGTCTTTTTTTCTTTTACAACGACGGGCCTCGAAATTAAGTTGAAACTACAAAGGAATTCTGATATGTTGGGTTTTTGGACTTTATCCATCGTCCTGGTTTTTAAGATAACAAATAAAAACACGACGTTTCGGAAACTGGATCTGTTTCCGTCCTCAGGTGAAGGAGAACACCTATTCAGTTGGGTCCGTTAGAAAGAGCTGAGGACAGAAACAGGTCCAGTTTCCGAAACGTCGTGTTTTTATTTGTTATCTTAAAAACCAGGACGATGGATAAAGTCCAAAAACCCAACATATCAGAGTGTTATACACCATCGTCAGAATCCTATAGTAACTACTTACAAAGAAATTGACCAGCTCTCAATTACGTAATATGAAATCAAGGAGTAAGATCCTTTGGGTTGTAATACCTTGTAGTTCTAAGGACATTCTATTAAACTGCACGGCGATTTAACATAGGATAATCACCATTGTGTGAGAACCTCATATCACAAATATGAAATCGTTGGAAAATACAGTAAACTTAGCATTGTAATCGCGTATCTGTCTTCATTACAGAAGTGTGAACACGCGCGGGTGACGTTAGCTGTAACTACATTTGATTTATATAAAATCGATCATTTTGCCCGATATGCGGATACCAAACGCAGAATTTAACAAATACATTCTACATATTCATATGCATATTTTTTGCAACATGTTTCGTATTCACATAAATTAGTGTCTTTATTCTTTGCAGTCATTCAACTGTTCTGAACCCCATCAGAATTTAAAAGTCTATAATTAAAATATTCATATATGCAATTCTTTATATTCTATCACATGTTACTCAAACATCATTCTGTTTGGAAGCAGTCACCCTCTCATATGAAGTATGATTCATATTGGTGTCGGCATTTTCGCAACATTTGAAAGTTTTTAGAAATAAAACATGGTTAACTTTGATTTATGTCTACATAGGAAAGCCCGAAGCCACCACGGATGCCCTCGTTCTAGGCCCAATATGTAAAAGTAGTTATTAGTAGTAGTAGTTACGGAATATACTTCCAGAAATTAACGGAAAAGGTACCTAATATAATGCACTCCCCAAATTTGTGTATAAGAATAGATTAATGGAGGAGTTTCCGGCGGAAACTGTGGTTAGAGATGGGAATTTTTTATTTCGAAGATACCACAACACTCGTATGTTGCTTTTGAAGCCATTCACTATAATGTATGGATGCATAAGAATGCAAAAATTGTAGCTCGTAGACCCGTTGCTAAGTTTTGGCCCTGTAAATAGCGACCGTTGCTAGGTACATGGCCGCAACATACACGCACGCAACGATAGAAGAGCTGTGTTTTCTGTGTAGTCCGTGTCGGGGCTACGTAAAGAGTGCAATGGAATTGGAGCGAGTTCAGTTGGGTGAAGTGAAGTGAAGTGAAGTGAAGTGAAGTGAAGATCAGCTGGGTGAAGTGAAGTAGTGGTTGGCGAGTTAGTGAGTTCAGTTGAGTGAAGCGAAGTGAAATAGTTGACGAGTTGGTGCAGTTCAGCTGAATGAAGCGAAGTAGTTGGTTGGTGAGTGAGCGTATGAGTTAGAGAACTGCTGAGGTTCAGCCATTGACAACCGTTGCTGTTAAAGCTGGTAATTAAGGCACGAGGACAGTTCGGGAACCCAGAGTAAGGTGAACGTCCGCCTTTAAAGCCGTTACCAGGCAACAATTGGTGAAGACAGCAGAATGAAAAGACTTAGCGTGTGCTGTAGTGAATCGTAGAGTGTGTGAATTAGCGAGAGTGCTATTGTTACTTGTAATTGTGTTCTCTAAGTGGTCAGTAAACCCAATTACCAGCCCAAACCCCGTCTATAGTCACTCATACATGTGACAATATATGTGAGAAGAAGATGGTATATATGACGGTAGCATAGAAATAACGGCTATTAGTCAAGCGTATACAATTCCCATCACTATTTTAAGCACAGGGACAATTTTTCCCCTTTTAAACTTAGAATGAAAAATTTTAAGTTGTGTTTTGACTGTAATGCAATTTCTGATTTTTATATATGGAGGACAAGTGTCGGGGTACGGAAAAATGATTGCAATCACATGTATTTGATATGAAACATCAATATGTGACATTTGCCACCACTTAAGTTCCCTTGTAGACATTAAATGTCAATATTATGATATAAACACGCCACTTTATGAGCGGTCACTGTATCAGCCGTGGCAATAAGATTATAAATGAGCTACTGTTTCGGAAAACTTTCCGATATTTTTCTGGTCATCAAAATAATACGTCGTTAAAATTCTCGCAGCCCTGTGGAACATCAATTTTCACCAGAGAACGAAAAACTCTGGTTAAGTGCAGACAACCATTGGAGTTTTATGATCAAACGTGGAAAGAATATTGTAAGAGAAGAAAAGAATGGGAAAATTATATAAAAGTAGTTCTATACAAAAGCTTTGGATTATTATGAAATATTTCATTCGAAGAGTAGACAAGAAATGGAGAAAGAAGGAGAAAAGATTGGCGTAAAAAGTACAATAAACGTGACACGCCTCCTATTGTTATATTACAGAGCCATAAATTCTTGGCCGAATTGGGACGTGGAAAACGTAGTGGGATTATAAGGTAGGAAATAGTGACAACCTCGTTTCCGAGGTAGAAATGTCT